ACTGCTCTGCTGCCATCTCTGCCCTGCTCACAGCGCCAGGGAAAACCCCAGCCAGGCAGGGAATGTTCCCATGGAATGTGAAGAGCACTGTCCTCACCTGAGGCTGTAATTCCAGCCTTTGGTGCTCACCAAGGTGACTTTGGTTTCTCAACTCCCCCTGTGCAGCCTGGCTGGGTGCCAGGAGCCCGAGCAGGGCACAGAGGCCTGTCACACTGCTCTGAATCAGCCAGACTCAAAGCCTGCTGTGCCAGGTTTCCACTGGGAATGGCAGCCCCTGAGCAGCTCCCAGACAGCAGGGCTGGAGAGGAAAGACCTGGGGATGCACAGCAGGATGGGGTGGGTGGGAGCTGCCCCTGAAATGCTCATGGCAGGATGCACTAGCCTGGAAACAGCAGGTGCTGAGCTGGGGCCCTGACTCTGTGTGCTCACATGTTTCCATCTCTCTCTAACTCCTGGTCCCTGTCTGCAAAGGAAATCACAATCATTTCTCTACTTTACATGCAAGTTGAGGCTATTTTAGGGCTGAGGCTGGGGTTTCAGCAGGTGCTGTTTTAGTGCTCAGCACCTCTGCCCTGCCCTTTGGAGTACTGCATCTGCCTCAGTAGGAACTGCAGGGATCCCTGGGCAACTGTCAGGGATTCTGGGACCTTTCAGGAGCACTGCTGTGCTATAAATAGAATTTATTGTGATTTGTTTCCCACAGAAGGCAGTTCTTTCACATTTTATCCCTTTCCTACTGTAAACACAGACCAAAGTGACGGAGGCTTTCTCTCAAGATCAAAGTGTGTGTGGAACTCTTCCCTTGGATCATTCACAGCACTGCACTGTGTGTGAAGCATTTCCCAGCTCTGCCTGTCTCACCTGCCAGGGATTAAAGGCTGCACTGCAGCCTGAGTTCTGTGCTCATGACTTAGCACCTCACATCCCCTTCTTCAAATAACAGTACTTTCATAGTAAATCCCACAAATACATCATTTACAGAGGGCTTTTCTACTCTTAGTTCTTCTGCTGCTGTTCTGTCTGTCCCTGGCTCTGCTGTTGCTTGGATCTGGCTTTGTTTTGCAGTTGAGTTGTCCTTGTTTCCTGAATTTCTGTGTGTGGGATCAGTGTCTCTCAGACAGGAGTAGTAACAGACCCTGAGCTTCACGATCATGTCCCAGGCTCCTCTCAGTGTGTCCTGCCTCTTGTTCAGGAGCTTCCTAGCAGATGTGTTGAAAGGAACATCACTCCAGACTTGCTCTGCATTAACAGACATTTTGGACTTCAGCTTCTGAATTCACTTTTTACCTCAGAAGCATGAAGGCCCTCCCTGATATCTGCAGTCAAAGTCAGCTGGGCACAGTGGCACCACAGGGAATGGGAGGATCAGGGGGCACAATGCAGCCTCTTAATTCTCCCTGTACCTCCAGAAAGCAAAGAAACCTCTGGTGACCCCACAGAATTGCTCAGAAGGGAAAGGATTTGCTGCATTCCTGCACAGATGCACTTTCCCTTTGGATAATACAGGTTTTCTGCCCTGTGAATTCCTTTGGCTGCCCATGGTACGAGCTGAGCTGACACTGAAGCACATCAGGCACTCCCTGGAGATTTTCCCTGCTCCCCTTTCGCTGCCTGGCCCTGCTCTCCTGAGCTGCTGCAGGCTGATGCTCCACCTTGAACCAGCCCAGGCTGCACAGCCACACACCAGGCACCAGGAGGATTCCTGCCCATCACAGGTGCTCCAGACTGGGACTGATGGGTTCTGTCCTGGCCCTGATTCCCAAGATTTTCAACAACATCCATTCCAATCTCACCGCGGCAATTTCCATCCCTCAGCTCTCCCTGGCTGCCTCCCCAAGGTGTGGATAACAGCCCAAATCCCAGGGATGCACAGCACAGCCTCAGCCCCTGCTGTGGCCTTTAGGCTCAGCCCAAGGCTCAGGCTGGGAGAACCTGACTTCAGAACTTCCCAGCTGAACCCAGAGCTGGTAAAGGCATTTTGTGCTCTTTCATACAGGGTCTGATGAAGCAGATTTTGTCCATCTGGATTAGAGTCTGCTTGTGCCCAGCAGATTGGTTAAAATGTTCCTGGGATTTATTACAGTTTAATGCCATGGAAGCTAAACAAATTTCAGGAACAATTTTGAGGCTCAGATCTCAGCAGGCAGCTATTTGCCTAATGTCCTACTTTTTCATACATCTCCTGCAGAAAGAAAATAGCTTTTAGTTACACGGGAACCTGATTATTGCCTGAAATACTGGCACTGCAAATTGCCCCTTTTCAGGCCATTTCCTGCTGTCAGGGCATGCTCAGTGCCCTTGAAGGTGCTGGGGAGCACGAGCTGCAGATCTAAAGGCAGGAACACTCTGCTTTGCCTGGGATTTGCAATATTTCACCAGCAAGGCTTTTTCTATCCCCATCCTCCAGTTACTTTTGTGCTCCTAATTATTTCTTGGAGTGTAATTGACTTGCAAGACATTCTTGGCTTGCAGAGTGCAGGGAGTGAATTATTGACCCGTCACATGGGTCATTGATGTGAGGAGACGTCAGAACAAACTGGGTGCAAAGCAGCTACTCTGCATTCCTAATAGCAAATGTAAGCCATTAATAACTGTGCTGCCTGCTGCACTCAGAGTCTGCCCAATTTGGGTTTGACATGCATATGGCTGAGTTCATCCTCAGTGTAATTTGAAATTCATTGGGCACGGACTTCATCTCCTTCTGCCGCTTGAAAATCTCTCCTGTGCCGAGATGTGCTATGCTAATTCCAGACTTTATGGCTGACTTGAGATGTTACATTTGAAAAATCAAATCCAATTAAATCAACTTATTACCAAGGTCAGAGACCAGCATTCAGTGCATTCATTCCTTGCTATTTCACAGCAAGCAGTAAACTTAGGGAGCAGATTCTGTCTTAACCCAAAATCCAACTGATCTGTTCTAATCAAATGGCTTTTGGCTGCAGGACCTGGGAAGTGCAGTCAAGTGACAAAGCATTCCCAGAGTCCAAATAGCTGAGTTCCCAACTTCCCACTTTTTTTGTGTATTATGGGACAAATAGTCTCCTTTTTGTGCCTGTTTCCCCATCTGCTCGTAAGATGGAAGAGGAAGGAGGGGGTTGGGGGGATAAATTCAGTGACTGCAAAGTTTTGAGTGTGGAGCTGTGGGCTGGTAACAGCATCAGCTTGCTGTAGTCAGAGTTAGAATGGAGCACAGATTTTAGGAGAGTCTCAAGAGATGCCCCATTGCTATATTGGCAGGCACCTGTTTATTATCTGTGAAGGGAAAAAAGTTCTGAGAGTATAATATCTCAATATTCTCAGCAAGGAGTGAAACAGAGGGAATATACAATGGCTTTTGGAGGGGGGCAAATATAAAGCTGATTTGCAGATCCTTTTGCAAATTAAAATCTTAAGTTTGGATTTATGATGAGCTCCCACACTGTGCAAGGCTTTGTATTTAAATTACACCATCACCAAGTGCCCAGTGGCTCTTTCTGCCTCTTGTTTTTCAGCACCTAATGCAGTTCCTGCAGGAGGTCCTTATGTTCCAGACAGAACCAGACAGAAAAGTGAGAGCAGTGTTGACCTCTTGGACTCCCTTTACTTATATCCCACTGTTTCATTTCCAGGGAAAAACAGCTTAACCTGTCCAGGCATCTACATCCTTCCCACTCATTTAGGAGCTTAAATCTGGATGGAATTTTCTGTGGTGGTGATTCATTCCACCAACCTGAGGGAACTCATTCAAGTGACTCTGGTGCCTCAGAATTCCTCTCAGCTCTCACAAACGGGCATTTCAAAATGAATTGTTTCAAACTTCCCTGGATCGTCAGCTACACAAGCAGTTCTAGGTACCAAGATTCCTATTTTAAGTTTTTGCTTCTGTTAAGTACCTAAGTTGAACCTGGGACTAAATTACTTCCAAAACTGAAGCTCTGACCTCAGCCATTAATGAGCTTTTAAAAATCTTGTATCAGTTGTGCCACTTTATGTAGGATTCAATTATGCAGCAAACCTCAGATGTTATTTGAGCTTTCCAAAGTTCTACTAAAGTGGTGTAAAACCCATGAAGGATTTACTCTCGCCTCACTTTACCCCTTCAAACATTTGAAGAGCCCAGGCTGCTCATTTAAGAGAGGCACCAGAGCTCAGTTTAAATTTGGGGCTGGAGGAGCTGCTCTTCATGGTGTCTCCTCTCACCCAGAGTGACAAGATTAGACACAGCCCCCAGATTTAAACAAGAAAGGGAACTGAGAGGGACTCTCTGGATATTAACAAACCTCCACACACAGGGTGGCCATTCAGGTCCCAGCAGCTCTGCCCTGTGATGCACACTTGTAGAACTGCCTGGTTGTACCTTTGGGATGGGCATTCCCAGGCTTTGAGCAGTCCCTGGCAGTTTGGTGCCCATTCTGGGTTCTTGTGCACAGCTCTGCCCACAGCTGGGAGGGTTTGTTAAAGTGCTTTGCCTTTCTCATGGAATGCTGCAGAGGAAACAGGTTCCCATGTGCCTGCCCTGCTTTTCTCCTCACCAAACCCCAGCCACTTCAAACCTCCACCCTGGGCAAAGCAAGAAGGGAACAGACCCTTACCTGAGTGAGGCTCAGCAGGGAGGGTGAGCCCTCATCAGCCCTGGGCTGCTCCCAGCTCCTGCTCTGGGGACAGGACTCCTGATGGGGCACCCAGAGCCGGGACTGAGCTCTAAAGCTCCTTTTCTCTGTGGGCAGGCTGAGCTGCACTCCAGGCAGGGTGTGTGGTGCAGCTTTGGGATTGTGTGCCCAGGGCACACACAGCGGGCACTCCTGGGGCAGCCTGGCTGGGAAGGGGAAATTCCCGTGTCAAACTGCCCTCATTCCTGCTGTGATCCAAAGATTTAGGGATGTGCCTTGGTCACAGGGGGCTGAGGTGAGCTGCTGAGCCCAGAGCAGCCCTCTGGAGCTCTGAACTCCTCTTGGGAAGAGCCTTTCCCACCGCCACCCCTGCTAGAGCCCCACAGTTCCCCTGGATGTGCTGCTCACCAGTGCTGGGCTGGGTCCACAGGGCTTCTGCCAGAGAGGTGAATTCCCAGAGCTGCACTCTTACATTTCTCCTGTCGAGGACAAACAACAAATCTGGATGGAGCTGGAACCCAGCAAGAACCCCATGGCAGGAAAATGAAGCATGGGAGTCTCCTTCCCCCACCTCCCACCGTTCCTTCACATCCGAGCACAAATCCATGATTAAGGCTTAGTGCCCTTTGCCCTCATCCTTCCCCACTCCACACAACGCTCCCAACAAGCAGGGCTGTGTTTCCAAGTCTCCACATGCTCTCCACTCAATGTCTTCTGGCCAGCCTAGGCTCTGTCTGGAAACAAGGACCTCCTGCAGGAGCTGCAGCAGATGCCAAGCAGTAAAAGGCACAAAGAGCCACTGGACAATGGACTGAGGTACTCAGAGAGCCCATCCCTGGAGTTCCATGCCCTCTGCATCCAGCTCCTCACTCAGGTGCTCTGTGCTGCCTTGTCCAGCTCCCCTGGACTCTGCCAGGCAGAGCCTGGAGGGCTCCAGCAGCCCCAGCTGTGATCAGGGACCCCGAGCCAAAGGCTCTGTGCCCATCCCAGGGACATTCCCTGTGCCACAGGCTCTGTGCCCATCTCAGGGACATTCTCTGTGCCAAAGGCTGTGTGCCTGTCCCAGGGACATGGAGCCAAAGGCTCTGTGCCTGTCTCAGGGACACAGCCCTGTGCCAAAGGCTCTGTGCCCATCCCAGGGACATGGAACCAAAGGCTCTGTGCCCGTCCCAGGGACATGGAACCAAAGGCTCTGTGCCCGTCCCAGGAACATTGAACCAAAGGCTCTGTGCCTGTCCCTGGGACATGGAACCAAAGGCTCTGTGACCATCCCAGGGACATGGAACCAAAGGCTGTGTGCCTGTCCCAGGGACATGGAACCAAAGGCTCTGTGCCCGTCCCAGGGACATTCCCTGTGCCAAAGGCTCTGTGCCTGTCTCAGGAACATTCCCTGTGCATGAAGAACACCTGCAACTGTGAGAAGCTCTCACACTGCACCTCTTTGGGCTTTTGGGACAGAGTTTAACTCCTGAGTGGCAGCTCTCAGATAAGCACCTATGTAAAAAGGCTGTGCTATAGGAAATAAAGGCTGAGTAGCAATGGCCACTTGTTCCTCTGTGATCATTTAAACCATTACCTGGCTATTTTTGTGATTCTATAGGGGAAATTTTCCCCCTCTTGTGCACTGAGGTTGCATGGTGCAGAAAATTGGTTTGTTTAAGCAAGAGTTCTTATAGTGTCTTTCATCAAATGTTCTCTGAGAACATTACTAATAATTCATTAAAGCAGCACTGTCAGCTGGAACACTTTTAATTACCATTTTCTGACAAGCCAACCCTTAAGTGGTATGCCCTGATTTTTAAATTTATTACTAACATATATGCAGATTTTTCTCTTTCCCTGCTGATGTTTATAGGGGATGAGAAAAGCAATTGACTGTGAGATTAAGGAAGTGAACCATGCACTACACGTTGTCATGCCCAAAATGGAAGAGAATTTAAGGGTGGTTACTTTTTTTAACTTTAGAAGTTTTGAGAACCTTGTTCCTAGAGCTCTGAGCATCTTCTGCAGCTGAGCTAGGGGAACTTGTGCTCTGAGCTGTTGCTTCTGGGGAACTGAAACACCTCCCAGCTCAGGTAGGGCTGTGGAAACCCTGGGCTGATGCTCATTAACTGTCCACTTACACACACTTGATTAGCCCTGCAGTTACTCTGGAGTTTCACTCTGAAGCCCAGGTGGCTGCTGCTAACCCAGGGTTAAACAGCAGTGCTGCAGCTCCCACACAAATCTAACATGCCCTGAGCTTGTAGCAGCTTATCCCAGCCCAGTTTTTCACAGAGCTGAGGCTGAAGGCCCCTCTAGCCCCGTGGCACTGTCAGAAATGCACTCAGCATTCCCAGAGAGGAGCAGTGCCTGAGCTGCCATCAGCTGCACCCGGTGGCTGAGGGGACTTCAGCACACGCAGAGGTTTTTTTGGCAGTGTTCTACTCAGTAGCTGCTTAGTGGGAGAAGAAACAGAGGCAGAGAAGTGGCAAAGAGCTGCCCAAGGAGAGGTGAGCCAGTGACAAGGCAGACTAGAATCCACATATCCTATTCCACACAAAAAAAAAAAAAAATAAAAGAAAATTTTCATTCCCTTGCTGTAGTCCTGACATGGTAAATTTGTGCAAGGAGACAGAAGGGACAGTCTAGGGAAATATGGTGGGGAAGCAGAAGAACAGAGCCCCTTACCTTGTGTCTCAGCCAGTGCAGCAGGGAGATGGGAGAGGAGCTGCCTGTGTCCCCCAGAGCAGGGAACTCCCACAGAACTTGGGTCCAGCAGCTCCTGCATCAAGCGAAGAGAGCCCAAGGCCCTCCTTGGCTTTTATGTGTGGCTGTGGCAGGTCACACTGGCTGCCAGCTCATCTGTATGCAATGGCTCATTAATGCTGGGCCTCATCCGCACGGGGCATGTGGAAGGCAGGGGAATGGGCTGCAGGAGGGATGGGGAGGCACTGAAGAGCTGGGCTGCCAGAGTTAAACAGTAATGCAGCCTCACCTGGGGAGCTGAGCTCCTGCTGCTGCCCAACGCCCAAGCCTCGTGTCCCAGCCCAGCAGCACAGGCACAGCACAGGGGCCTTGGCCAGGTGTGAGCTCCAGGCCTTGAATTGCATGGGGAGATGGTTTGGCAAGAACCAGGTGCCTCTTGATGCCCCCCCCCCCTACGCTGCAGAACCCTCTGCAGCCTGGTTTAATGGGGCTGTGCTCTGGGAGCTGGCTGTGTCCTTGCACAAACTCCTGGTCTAACTTCCCCCAGATTTGATCTGAACCCCTGAGTCCATCTGGGCCCTTTGCAGAGGGAGGGCTGCAGGAGTGACCTCAATGGGGCTGCAGGAGTGACTTCAATGGGGCTGCAGGAGTGACCTCAGTGGGGCTGCAAGAGTTACCCCTCTGCTGTGGGGCTGCAGGA